TATGGTTCCCACAATATCAATGGCAAAATGGAAACACAATTAGTTTCTTTTAAAAAAAATACATAACAATCACATAACCACCCCTCTAGCAAAGGAACCATAATTCTTATTAACTAGATCCAAAATCGAACAAGAAATTGTAAAAGTCAACTGTAATTTACTCTTTCAGGAGGTGGTCATATGATTGTCATGTGCTTTTTTGGGAAGAAAATAAATTGTGTTCCCATTTTGCTATTTAAATTGTGGGTACCTAAGAAAGGCACGCACTTTTTGGCTAGAAAACTGATCAAAAAATGAGCTCGCGGACTAAAAGGGCACTTTCCTTTTTTATATTTGATGGACTATTTTGATAAATTCTAATTTTGATGGGCTAAAAAAAGTTTTTACCGAAAATTTAAGTGACTAATTTGGCAATTTTTCTTTTATTATAATAGAATCTGCATGTGTAATATTAATAGGCTCAAGGGCTGATGGGGTCTCACAAGTTTGCCTTTTAATGTAATTGAGTTGGAAAATAGTGTAACAACTATTGAAATATGATGTGATTGAGTTGAAAAATGGTGTAATAAAATATAAAATTACTAAATACCCGAAATCGAGTAGAAATACAACTTGTCAGGCTTCGAATCGAGATCATGGGGGCCTCTTCAGAACTAAACATGCAAATCCAATATAAGAAACAATTATTAAATTGCAAAGATTGAAATGCACAAGAAGGACATAATCTAAAAGAATCAAAATCCAATCTAAGAAACAATGATGTAATAAAATATGAAATTGCTAAATACCCGAAATCGAGTACAATTACAACTTGTCAGGCCTCGAATCGAATCAGGGGGCCTCTTCAAAACTAAACATGTAAATCCAATCTAAGAAACAATTATTAAATTGCAAAGATTGAAATGCACAAGAAAGACATAATCTAAAAGAATCAAAATCCAATCTTGGAAACAATGGTGTAATAAAATATAAAATTACTAAATACCCGAAATTGAGTAGAAATGCAACTTGTCAGCCCTCAAATCCAGATCAGGGGCCTCTCCACAACTAAAATGTAAATCCAATTTAAGAAACAATTATTAAATTGCAAGATTGAAATGCAAAAAAGAAAGACTTAGTCTAAAAGAATCAAAATCCAATCTAAAAAACAATTGTTAAATTACAAAGATTGAAATGCACAAGAAAGACATAATCTGAAAGAATAAAAAATATTTGAATAAGATTGGAATCCAAATCAAAGAGATCAATAACCACCAGAATCATGTAATCAAGAGGTGCAGCCATAACATAAGAAAAACTCTATCCTTCATCAATTTGGAAACACTCAATTCTTCTATCCACTCATGAATCACCAGTTATATCTTTGATTAATTTGTTTTTCTTGGTACGATTATATTTTTCTGTAAAAGTTCCCAAAAACTACAATCTAAACCGGCTCGTAGTCTCACAAAACATGTACTTGAAAAGCAAAACATGTGGTTTCACGTGACCTGGCCAAATTAAGACCCGATCAATTCCGTTGTTATTATCAGATATATAATAGAGTACCATATCTTCTTGCACTCTATCAGATATATAATAGAGTACCTAAGAAACAATTATTAAATTGCAAAGATTGAAAGGCAAAAGAAAGACATAATCTGAACCAAACGAAGCTATTGGAAGAAGATTGGATTCTGATCAGCAACCAGAATCATGTGATGAAGAGGTGCAACTATCATTTAGAAACACTCAACTCGTGAATCGCCCAGTTATATCTTTGATTATCTGTGGGTACGAAATATGAAGTCAATTAAATGTGCATACCACATAAGAGGCAAATCAGAGGTCAGAAGAAATGTAAAAATCGATATCAGAAGCCACGTAATAAAATGAGTGCAGCCCTAGTAGACGGATAATCATAGAGTTAATAAATCAAGTTTCCCAGCTAGCTCTCTGATAGGTTGCGATTTTATTATTTATTTTATTATTAATTTCCTCTATTACCTGACCTGATATAGATTAATTATTAGATTCTATTCACTTTTCGAATTTTGTAATTATTTCAGGGAGTAGAACGAAAATACCACAACCAATGCCAATTTGACAGTCATCGAGAAAGAATTCAAATAGAAGACATTCAGGAGCATTTTGAGAACAAAAGATACGCGAGCCCTTTTTGGGCAATTTGGCCGAAGTCTTCCTTTTGAAGGGGCAGCCGCCGCACATCAAAAGATTTATTAGATAGAAACTAGAAATTGCAGAGGATGAGCACTACTTTAGAGTACCTTTGACTTTTCCTTCTTTTGCTTCTTAGTAGTTTTTGTCTCCTCATATGTCAGGAGCAATTAGGCACAATTGAATGATTTCCCGCAGCTTTTCTATTTGACGTTGGCTTTTCGTCCTTTGTGGTTCTCCTGCCGCGTATGCCTGGAACAATTGAAGGATTTAATCATTCTAGGCAGTTTTCGCTTTCTATCATCGTTTGAAGCAAATTGAAATTTCCCAAACGCAGGAGATGGCCGCAGCTTTTGCTTCAGTTTCGTATGTTTTGTTCTCATTAAACATGAACTAATTTCCTCACTCTAGTCAAGGAATAACGGAGGCTCTGGTTCGCCTAAAATTGTGAAATCGATTTAATTTTATCTTTTCCTTTGTTTATTGGTATTCGCATATTCCTTGATTGCAGTACTTATGATTATTTAATTAATTGATTATCTTGGATTCGGATAATTAGTTAATTTGATAATCTATTATCAATTGGGGCATTTAAATCCGTAATTGTTTAATTACCTTGAAATAGTGACAACTGGCATGATTGGATTTGTGTCAGGGGTATACGCGGACTAATCTGAAATAACCCTGGTAGTGCATTATTTGGTTAGAATAGGACTCCTCTAATACGTAAGGCAATTGGGGAATTAAATCTTATGGGCGTATTTAGAATTATTTCTCAATTAGAGTAGTGATTAACGGGCGTACCTTAATCACCGACACAGTAAGGAGAGGTTGACTGTCATCGCTTGTTTGGTAGTTATAACTTATTTATTAATAAATAATTGGAACTGCTTGTGTATCGATAATCAATTAGGTGAACCATTGCTGAAGTTATTTCTTGGCTAGACCTTTAATTATTATTACCTTGATTTTAGTGAATTGTCATTTAATTTTTAGTTGCCTATTTTATTTTATTTTTAATTGTTTTCTTGTTTTAATTGCTTTAGACCTTTAATTATTGTTACTCTACGTTTAGTGAATTGTCATTTAATTTCTAATTAGTTATTTATTTTTATTTTCTTATTTAATTTTTTTTGATTGTCGTTGTTTATACAAAATCACCTCCTGTGTTACTTTGAATTTCTTAAGAGACAAATATCCCCAATCCCTGAGGATACGATCCTACTTGCCATGTCTACAAATTCATAATTATTTATGAAAAAAAAAGTTATCCCATTCGGGTATATCGGATCAAGCAAACTCTTCGATAACAGGATGAATCAAGTAACCCATTGCACATCTAGAGTCCCTGCTCCAGTACTTAGAATTAGGTTTTAGTTATTTTAACTGGCAATTAGGTTTAGTTTTATTATTGCACAGGTTTCGACACCCTATCAATTTTTGGCTCTGCTGCCGGGGACTGGTGTCAGTTATTTGTTTCTTTTTAAATTCATTTTCGTTCTAATTTTCTGGTGCTTCTCGAGTATATGCCTCGTTCTTTACGTACAGGTGAATTAATTTTCGACCCCGAGATAGAGAAGACTGCGCGTAGAAAGAGAAAAGAGACCAGACAGCTCAGAGAGGAGCAATCAAGTGCTGCATCTCAGAGACTTGAGCCTGAAGTTGACCCAACAGATTCGTTTGGTGACACTTCGAGTGACTCGGATCAAGAAGAAGTCACTATGGCTAATGTACAAACATTAAGGGAGTTGGCTGCTCCTGATTTAACTCGGCAGCCTTTATGCATTACTTTCCCAAGTTTAAATGATAACACCCCATTTGAATTAAAATCTGGACTAATTCATTTTCTGCCATCTTTTCATGGTTTACCAGGTGAGGAGCCTTATAAGCACTTGCAAGAATTTGATGTCGTCTGCAACAGCATGAAACCCCCGGAAATTACAGAGGAACAGATAAAAATGAGGGCATTCCCCTTCTCCTTGAAAGACTATGCAAAAGACTAGTTGTACTACCTACGACCAGATAGCATCACCACGTGGGACCAGTTGAAGAAAAAATTTTTAGACAAATATTTTCCTGCGTCCAGAGCTGCAAGTTTAAGAAAAGAAATTTACGGTATTAAACAGCATCTAGGAGAGTCGCTCTATGATTATTGGGAGCGATTCAAGAAATTGTGCATCAAGTGCCCTCAGCACCAAATAAGCGAGCAATTACTCATACAATATTTTTACGAGGAGCTACTTTTTAGAGACAGAAGCATAATAGATGCTGTAAGTGGAGGGACACTGGTGAACAAGACTCCTCGAGAAGCATGTGAGCTAATTGAAGGAATGGCTGAGAATTCGCAGCAATTTGGTACGAGGGAGGATGTCCCAACACGCAAGGTGAATGAGGTAGAGATATCTTCTATCCAACAGCAGTTGACTGAGTTAACATCTTTTGTTAGGCAATTGGCTGTAAGAAATGCATCACAGGCCAAGGTGTATGGGATTTGCACTGCTATGGGTCACTCTACAGAAATGTACCCAATGATCCAAGAAGAAAATGCGGAACAAGTAAACATGGCTTGCCATGCGCCCGCGCCAAGAAATCAATATGACCCATATTCGAACACCTACAATTCTAGTTGGAGGGACCATCCCAACTTCAGTTATGGAGGAAATAGGCAGTCCAATTTTATGCCAAGTAGACAACAAGGGTACTAGCAGCAGTATCAGCTTCGACCACCACCACCTCCACCGAGCGCCAGTCCATCTTTGGAAAATATGATGAAACAATTGATGGCTAGTACTGCAAAACACCAGCAAAAGACGGACTCCGAATTGTGAAACATAAGAAATCAGATGGGTCAGATGCAAGCGATGCAGAGTCAGATAAGTCAGATTGCAATATCAATCAGCCGTCTAGAGTATCAAGTAAACGGAAAATTGCCATCCCAACCTGAACTGAACCTGAAGAACGTAAGTGCAATGACCTTAAGGAACGAGAAAGAAATTCAAAGGCTCGAACTCGCGACTCCAAAGGACAAGGATGAGGAAAAGATTGAGAAAGAACTTGAGGAGGAGGACAGAAATCGTAAAGATCCAATGGTACTCCCCGAACCAATCATTGAAGTTAAAACTAATCCACCTCCTTTTCCTATCAGGTTGGAGAGACCGAAAAAACAGGACAAGGAGAAAGAGATCTTGGATGTATTCCGCAAGGTAGAGATCAACATTCCCCTACTAGACGCAATCAAACAAGTGCCGAAATATGCAAAATTTTTGAGGAACTTGTGCATCAATCGAAAGAGGTTGAGGGGAGATGAGAGAGTCATTGTGGGAGAGAACGTGTCTGCAGTTCTACAAAGGAATCTCCCACCGAAGTGCGGGGATCCAGGTAGGTTTACTGTCCCATATAGGATAGGTAATACTTTGATTAGAAATACCATGCTGGACTTAGGAGTATCAATCAACGTAATGCCTAAATTTATGTATGCTTCTCTGAACCTAGTTCCATTAAAAGAAACTGAGATAATAATTCAACTAGCTGACCAAACAAATGCATACCCTGATGGGTTGGTCGAGAATGTGTTGGTTAAAGTTAATGAATTGATATTCCCAACTGATTTTTATGTACTTGACATGGATGATGACCATTCTCCCGACCCCTCGCTTTTGCTATTAGGTAGGCCTTTTTTAGTACAACCCAGACAAAAATTGATGTTCATAAAGGTACCTTGTCTATGAAATTTGATAGAGAAATAGTCCACTTTAATATTTTTGATACAATGGAACATCCTGTTAACTCTCACTCTGTGTTTGTTATTCATGCTATTAATCCTTGTGTGCAAGAATTTCCTGAATTTGCTTGTAGGGATAAATTCAAAATTGCTGCGTGCAAATATTAGGGAATGAAAGCAATTTATGAGGTGAAAATGAAAAAAAAAATTAAGAAAATATGTTGCACTCAATGGCTATTTGGATCCCGGAGGATGGCCACTGATTACAAGAAAAATTGAATTATATCCAGATTGAAGAGTGGTGTTTAATGTCTAGCCAAAAACATTAAAGAAAGGCGCTCATTGGGAGGCAACCCAATTTTGTTTTTTAGTCGTTTGTTCAGTTTTGCTTGATAGTTTGAATATGTTTTCCTTGAATTTGACTGATTTCGGGCTTCAATTTTCATTGTTGATGATTCGTAGGTGTCTCTCTGACTTGACACACTCGCGTCAAGTCGTTTGGAGAGCTCATGGTCAGATGGGTTCTTGTTTTTTTTACATGCCCGCATCAAGTCGTATGGAAAGCTCATGGTCAGAAGGGTTCTTGCCCTCTTGACTTGCCCACGTTACGTTCGCGGGAAAGGTAAGTATTCAAAATTCGAAAACAGATTTCGATTTCCTGTTACTTTCTAATTTTGAATTTCGACAATAAGTTTTGTTCATAATAATAATATTAAAAAAATAAAAAAAGTAAATAAAAAAATTTTTAATTACAAAAAAAAAATGGGTTTTTCCGTTTAGCTATAACTTCTGATTTTCAAAATAAGAATTTACAAAAAATCTAAAAATGAAAAAAAGAAAGAAAAAACAAAAAAAAATCTATTTTGTTTTTCTTTTTCTCTTTTCTTTTTTCTTTCTTTTCTTTTCTTTCTTTGTTTTATCTTTCTTTTTTTCTTCTTCTTTCTTCCTCTTTTCTTTCTTTCTTCTCCCCTGTTTCTTCTTCTCTTTCGGCCGAGCACCCCTCACGCCTGCCGCTATCTCTCTCACCATCCACGTCGCGTCACTGCCACTTCCAGCCGCTCCATCATCGTGTTTCGGAAACCCACTTGAATTTGGCAGCCCTCATGCATCATGCGGGTCTTACGCCTCACTTTGGTTATCACCCACCACTTTGACCCGATTTCAGGAAAGTTTTGTTACCCTTTCTCCTACTTTTGATGTTTATTTGCTACATTGAGGGCAATGTATCGTTTAGGTGTGAGAGGGGACAGCTGGGGTGCCAGTTTTTCTAGTTTTTAGTTTTCGGTGTTTTTCCTTTATTTTTCCTTTATTATTTGTCTATCTTTCGTTCAGTCTCTTTCTTTCTTTTTAGTGATCAACTCTCATGTAAATGCCAAAGTTTGATGTTGGATTGTTGATTCTAATTCTACTATTGCCAAGTTTTAATAATAAAAGTGTATCGAATTAATGTGGTTGAGTTCAGAACATCTCTTTGGTGAATATCAGTGATTGCTTGGCTCTTTTGAGATCTTGGTTAACTTTTCTAGGCATAGGGAATGATTGTTGACATTTTCATGTGAATTGGTCCAATATTAATTTTAGTTCTCCATGTTTGAAAAAATGAGGCTAGCTGCTGTTTTTGTTTGTTTTTGAGGTGTTATTTTGAGTTATTGTGTTATCTAGTTGTAAATAAGAGTTGACTGTACTCCGCTAGTTGTTACTACTGAGTAATCGGGAATTTTCATCAAAAGTGTCGATTCTCGCGTCAAAAAGTAGTAATTTCTATGAGTACGTGGTTGTATAGCGATAGGACCTGAGTAACCGGACTCCTTCATCCGGTAAATGTTGGAGTTCGCGTCAAAAGGTTTCAATGGCTAGAGACTAAGTCTTGTGTTACTATTGAAAAAAAAGAAAAACAAAAAAAAATGAAGAGGAAAATAGAAAAACGTGAAAAAAAGTATAGGTTGTGTTAATGTGTGATAAAAGTCAGCTTGCCGATTTATGGATTTAATGTGGAGATTTTGGTTAATACTTGGACCATTTGTTGATAAATGTGTGCGCCATTCCTTTTTCTTAGATTAGTTAATTTGGAATTGAAGGAGTTTGTAGTTTAGAAGCTAACCGAGGTGATGTTTCTCGGATTTTGATCACTAATGCTTGATATATGGTTTTCCTTGGTATCTTGGAAATATGGTAGATAGAGCAATGCTCATTGTCAACTATTGGTATTTGTTTATTGTTCCTATGCTTGAGGACAAGCATGGTTTAGGTGTGGGGGGAATTGATAGGTTGCGATTTTATTATTTATTTTATTATTAATTTCGTCTATTACCTGACCTGATGTGGATTAATTATTAGATTCTATTCACTTTTCAAATTTTACAGTTATTTCAGGGAGAAGAACTAAAATACCACAACCAATGCCAATTTGACAGTCATCGAAAAAGAATTCAAACAGAAGGCATTCAGGGGTATTTTGGGAACAAAAGAGACGCGAGCCCTTTTTGGGCAATTTGGCCGAAGTCTTCCTTTCGAAGGGGGAGCCGCTACACATCAAAAGATTAATTAGATAGAAACTAGAAATTGTAGAGGATGAACACTACTTTAGAGTACCTTTGACTTTTCCTTCTTTTGCTTCTTACTAGTTTTTGTTTCCTCGGATGTCAGGAGCAATTAGGCACAATTGAATGATTTCCCGTAGCTTTTCTATTTGATGTTGGCTTTTCGTCCTTTGTAGTTCTCCTGCTGCGTATGCCTGGAACAATTGAAGGATTTAATCATTCTAGGCAGTTTTCGCTTCCTATCATCGTTTGAAGCAATTTGAAATTTCCCAAACGCAGAAGATGGCCGCAGCTTTTGCTTCAGTTTCATATGTTTTGTTCTCATTAAATATGAACTAATTTCCTCACTCTAGTCAAGGAACAGTGGAGGCTCTGGTTCGCCTAAAATTATGAGATCAATTTAATTTTATCTTTTTCTTTGTTTATTGGTATTCGCATATTCCTTGATTGCAGTACTTATGATTATTTAATTAATTGATTGTCTTGGATCCGGATAATTAGTTAATTTGGTAATCTATTATCAATTAGGACATTTAAATCCGTAATTGCTTAATTGCCTTGAAATAGTGACAACTGGCATGATTAGATTTGTATCAGGGGGATACGTGGACTAATCTGAAATAACCCTGGTAGTGCATTATTTTGTTAGAATAGGTCTCCTCTAATACGTAAGGCAATTGGGGAATTAAATCTTATGGGCGTACCTAAGATTATTTCTCAATTAGAGCAGTGATTAATGGGCGTACCTTAATCACCGACACAGTAAGGAGGGATTGACTGTTATCGCTTGTTTGGCAGTTATAACCTATTTATTAATACATAATTGAAACTGCTTATGCATCGATGATCAATTAGGTGAACCATTGCTGAAGTTATTTCTTGACTGGAACTTTAATTATTATTACTTTGATTTTAGTGAATTGTCATTTAATTTTTAGTTGTCTATTTTATTTTATTTTAAATTATTTTCTTGTTTTAATTGTTTTAGACCTTTAATTATTGTTATTCTAAGTTTAGTGAATTGTCATTTAATTTCTAGTTAGTTATTTATTTTTATTTTCTTATTTGAATTTTTTTGATTGTCGTCGTTTATACAAAATCACCCCCTGTGTTACTTTGGATTTCTTAACAGACAAATATCCCCAATTCCTGAAGATACGACCCTACTTGCCTTGTCTATAAATTCATAATTATTTGTGAAAAAAAGCCATCCCATTCGGGTATATCGGATCAAACAAACTCTTCGGGAATAAGGTGAATCAAGTAACCCATTGCACACCTAGAGTCCCTGCTCCAGTACTTAGAATCAGGTTTTGGTTACTTTAAACGGCAATTAGGTTTATTTTTATTATTACGCAGGTTTCGACACCCTGTCACTCTCCAAATCTTGTCTCACAAAATTGGAAAAAGAAAATGCAATTTTGGTCTCTAAAATTTAGTATAAGAGCGATTTTAGTCTTCAAAGGTTTAATTAAAGTAAATCTGGTCCCTAATATTTTAAATTTGAAGCACATTTAAGATACATGACCGATTTTTTTTTTTTTTAAAATTTTCAACATGATCCTTGCCCAAAAAAAAAATCATGATACTAAGGATTCATTACTCACATAACCACACATGTGAAAGGGCATGATACTAAGGATTCATTACTCACATACTAAGAATTCATACTCGCATTACTCACTTAAACCTTTTGACTCCTGACCCTAAATTCGATTGAGTCGATGTCTCAGCTTGAATTTCAAAACTCTGCTATTTATTAGTCCTAAAAATTGTCTACATATCAATCAATGTATACGCGGAAGTTTGCCATTTTACCATAGTAAGAATAAACTGTTTACTTTTAAGAGGATACATTATTGGTGGAATTGATAAGTGAATATTTAACGTACATTTTGTATAAGTTTGGCATGAACTTTTGTTATGTTTTGAGAAAATTAAAGCCATATTTGAACTCTTTTTGGTGCAAATTGTTTAAGTGTTGTTTGAGTAATCAAAACTTGTTAAATGAGTGGATTAATGCTTTAATCTGTGATATTTTGAAAGATATTGATAGATGAACTTCATTTGGAGGATAAAGTACAAAAGAAACTAGGAGCAAAAATGAAGAAAAAAGGAATGAATCAAAAATCTGGAAATTGATCACAAGGATCCAAACTCGGATTTGTGTGCAACAAGAAGAGATCCGAACCCTCGTCTATACTTCTGGAGTAATGGATCCGAGGTCAATCGATCCGAGTTCGGATCCACATGAAAAAGTCCTCGGATCAGCCATGATCCGAGTTCGGATCGCTTTGCACCCCTCGGATCCATGACTCGAATTTGCCTCTCTCTTCTGCAAGTGGCACAGCCGTTTTTCTCACTTTTCACACAACTTTTCAGCTATCTTGGGTGAGAGAATTCGATGGCACATGCTTCTGCAACAAAAGGGAAGACAAAATGAGTATTGACAAGTCAAAACAACATA